TTCTAGATATGCCCGATAGAGGAAAACACTGACTTGTACATCGGCTGTCCTTGCAGTTCATCGCATAGGCCATATCATATTCAAAATGGCACTAATTTTGAATGTGAGTTTAATGCGTGCCGCATACCAAAAAGGCATTGGCCGGTAGCGAAAGCTCCATCCTTTCCTTATTCCTCTAAATGATGTCATTCAACCTTGAATCAGGCTCTCTAGGCTAACAACGACATTGGTCGTTCTTGATTAGTCCCGTCTGTGGTCGATCGGGTGGTTCTTCAAGGTCAAACCACCATGGCCATCGCCGATCACCAAGAGTTTGCAGCCATTGAACGGCCACCAGCGGATTCCCCATCCGCGGCGAATATTTTCGATTTCTCGTGCACTGCTTGCATTGATGTTCGTTCTCTGAGTTTTCAAGCAAGTTTCCTTCGATTTCAGCTCCTTCTTCCTTGCATGACGAATTAATAGGATACTTTCTTGCAATGTTTACTATTGAATTTCCTCCATCCCTTTTCCTTTTTCCTGTGTTGTGGGAGGAGAGAAGCCAAAGTTCAAAAAAGGGTCACGAAGGACGGTGTCCACTACTGCTGTCAGACGTTTCCCGAGAGTCCGAAAAGTGGTCGGTCCAAAGGAGCCGTTTTCGGAAAACGCGTCGGGTTGAAGCAGTGTGCTTCATAGTATGATGACTGCTATTTAACGCCACAGTGCGCAATTCGAAAGTTACCGCAAGGGTGCTGAGTTACGGGCAAAAGTCGGACCAGCCGGACGGGATTCGAACCATCTCCCGCTTTCCGTGCGGTTGCGTTATCCAGTATGCTATCGGAGCGCCGCTGCGTTCCTTTGATTGCCCTATTTAATTGTGATGATTTGTTGATAACAGCAACTGGAAATATGTATAATCTTTAAATTTTAAGGGAACAATACAAAGTTGTAGATCACTCTCCGTTGTGTTGAAGAAAGTGAATAAGATTCGTAGCATGGTTTATAATATATGGATTTTTATGTATGATGGCAATCATGGGATTGTTTTTAAAGTGTGGGGTTTACGATATTTTTTTCAGCAGATTTTGTAAATTTACTCATTATACTGCTTTCTGAATGGTCATGTTTCGCCTTCGATGGTATGGTCATATCCTCGCGCGAATAGTGACACCGTCCGTAAGATTGGTCTTGAGCTCGAGGTCTCGAAAACCGGCCTAAAGGAGGCCCAAGCGCACTGGTCAGACAGCGGGGCTGCAGCATGCGGCTTAAGCAGTTGGCCACGTGTTTTCCCACTCGGTTAAAATGCTAGTAGGGCTATGTAGTTGGGGAAATGGCGAAAGAACGGAGTGAAACGGTCAAAATCCGGCGAAGAAAAAGCCTCCGTTCTCAGTGACTTGTAAATCGATTTCGGACGAGTTTCCCGTACGCATCTTGCCAATCACCGCTAGCGCAGGTACGGCTGCATAGTGTACCCATATCTGAATACAGCATCACGGTCGCTTCATACCTATCCCTTGGCTTCATAATTTGATCAGCAAATGAATGAATACGAGCATCAGGAACGGTCGTCCATTTGTGGACGAGGAAGGCGTTTGGGACGGAATGTTGTTGCTCTATAGGATGTTATGGGGAATCCTTGGAAAAGGCACCACGGAGCGCCCGTCCGAGGTCACGGAATTCTGTTAAGCCAGTCGTATAAAATCCGCATCTGGTATAGCGATTTTATCGTGCCAGCTGTCTTTAAAGGTGGTTGGGCACCATCCCGATCAAGCATTCAATCGGGAGAAGTGGTGTGACAAAATAAGACAAGCGGTCCCTGCTACAGAGCGGGACAAACGCTGAAGAAGAAGAGGAAGATTGAAGCTTACTAAAGCGATCGCTTACTTATAAGAGCGCAGATAATCGTAGTGTCCTCATTAGCGCTAAGAATTAAGTCATATTCATAATCAGGATGTTAAACAGCACCTGTCTGAAGTTTTCTGCTGACATGGTGATCTAGGCACTTCATAAATAAGCCAGCAGCCAAAACTGAGCGCGTCCAAACGGCATCAGTCTCATCAGTGAACGTTCAGAGATTACAGCACATAATTACTGATTTGTTATTAGCATACCACTTATCTCATCGATTTCTTGACTTCCTTTGAAATTTGGCACGGTCATATTTGAAGTGCCCACAGGAACGGTACGCCTGAATCAATATTGGTTCTTCACCGCATGTCCGCGCTATCTAGTTTTGTTCAACAACAAATACTGATAGCAATTCTCCTTGGTCACTATCCAACCTATTCATCTACTCAAATACACAGTTTATTACCTCTTGAGATGTTCTTGGGAGGGGTAATATTATTTATTTCACAATTAAAACCAACATAAAACGGCAAAATTCTGAACAGTAAACCCGGTCGTGAGGTCTTTCCGGAGGGCGAGCTGTGCTGTGACAACGAGCAAATGAAGCATGACAGTCAAGTATTTACCGGATTACTACGAATTCGCGAGGTGAATTCTAGAGGAACTATAGCACAAATGTAGGAGCTCAGGTTTTGTGAGTCATCCGAGCAGTTGATTAGGCAGTCAGAGGGTGCGCAAGCGGCTGCGGCTCGTCACGACAGCTGTTTCCAGCCTGGTTTAGCCACTTTCTCCCTAATTCTCACTGTATTTTCTATTTTCTTCAAGGTAGTTGTGTTGTTGCCCTTGTGAATTATATTAGGACCTGGATTCTCTTTTTTTGTTTTTATAATGGAATGTTTTTGCGATTTTTTAGGTATTTGTTTGTTTTTGTTTGTTTGATTGTTCGCAAAAATTAGAGAAATCTCAATCATAATTCACCTTGTGAAGACAAGGAACAACTAACCTTAAGAAAAGCAGCCAAAAACAGTGAAAATTAGGGAGAAAATGACTAAACCAGGCCGGAACACTTCTTACGTACGCAGTCGCCTAATCAACTGCCCGGATGACGACTGTATTTCTCGTGCACTTCATCCCAATGTTAATCAGTTATTCATTTGGTGTAATGCTTAACCTCCTTACCACGCGCGCAACTCGTCCAGGTGATAAAGTAGTCTGGGTCACGGTGGCCTAGGGATCGTACTGGAGACACATTTTCCACTGAGCCTAAGCCTTGATTACAGAGAGGGGCGCTGGCAGAATCGCCCGTCCCAGCTAGCTCAGTACCTTTGTCTATCGACAAAAACGCAATCGAGCTTTCTTCACAGCAGTTCTTTGCGGTCTTCTATCTTTTTTCTTTCTGTTATATACCATTTTTATTTCAAACTAGCGAGTTCTCTTATATACCACATTTACTTCGAAATAGCGAGTTTCCAACCTAATTCACATACTTTCAAACGATATCACGACTTTTCAAATCAAATCCAATAACTGTCATTAAATACGTCACACAAAACCTGCTGCAGGCCCTACACTTAATAGCCACGCCCACATTTTAGCCTGATCATGATTTTTTCAAGCTTTATTTTTATAACTTCTGCCTCTGCGACTTTTTTGCACTTTTGCTATTTCGAATGTACACACTAATGAAAAGGACTGCACATCGACAAATGGGCGAGTCCGCCCATTTTTTTCAAAGAATTTGCTGCAGATTTCAAATTTTCGTAACTTTTTCCAACGTCTTTACTTTCGCATCCTATCTTCATACGACAAAAGTCCCTCTAAACGCGCATTAATGCACTGTCACATCAAGCTCCCCGCCCTTTTTTGGTCACGTCCATTTTTACGTCTTTTTGCAAATTGTGATGAGTTTTCACACTTTGTACTGATACCGGTAGCCCCGCTCATCATAGGAATCTCCGCCCACTTCGTAGGAGCCCCGCCTTCTAAGAAATGTTTGAAAGCAGGCGGGGCCCCTACGAAGTGGGCGGAGAATATTATGAGTTGGCGGGGCTTCTATAAGTGGGTGGGTCTACTACAAAGTCCGAATGGACGAGCTACAGTCTCTAACTTGCCTATCTAGCCTAGCTATGACCTTTTCATCCATCCGAGACACCTAAGGGTATCTTCTGGGAGAATGAGAGCACTTGCCTCTCTCATTTGGCTTGTCGAACGTGAGGTCAAACTTGTGCAGGGGTTCTTCTCTTTGGCTTTTTCCTTTGTTACGCTTTTCTCCTCTTTCCAGGGCTCAGTCAGAGAACGTCTAGGAATGTGTCCGATCCCCACTGGTGATAGCGTGTCCTATCGCATTACTCTTCATCCCCTCCGTCCAATCAATGACTTTTACCAACTACTTCAATTATCTGGAATAGCTTTTTTGGGTTTATTCAATCCGTAAAATCCGCTACTATATCCATTGAGTGAACCGGTGGTTGCCTAAACAGTTCGCTGGTTCTCCCCATTGTGAACGATCTCTCGATACGATTGAAAACTAAATAAAAAGAAATGAAAACTGCGTGGAGCAGAGCATATCCTCTCCTCCAAAGAAGAGATAAAGCGGACTATTGCGCATCCTCTGCAAGATACAGTCGTCATCCTTGCACTTGATAGTCAATGTCAGTGCGGCTGCGTGCGGCGCGGTCGTCAGCACCCGTACTGCACCAATCGTTGAACCAGGAAGTGACATTACTGTATTATATCCTTCGTGTTACTCGTTTTCTATCACTTTTTGTCGCATACGCGTTTCAACGAAAAGGCTGAGAAGGCTTCAAACAGTGTGCACGCTCCTTCTCGCCGACACGCCCCTATCAAGTGCAAGGATGACGACTGTACAGCTGCTACCGTCACATACCCACGCTGAATAGCTTCACCTCTCTCTCTCTCTCTCTCTCTCTCTCTCTCTCTCTCTCTCTCTCTCTCTCTCTCTCTCTCTCTCTCTCTCTCTCTCTCTCTCTCTCTCTCTCTCTCTCTCTCTCTCTCTCTCTCCTCCCCCTCCTCCCGCGATTCGTTATTTTATGCTGTTTTAAACCGACTTTTTGGACTACGCTTCTGGTGCTCTCCTCTTGAAAATCGTTTCTACTGTCCTCAGGTTACTCAATGCCTTCAATTCAGTACTTATTGTTTAGCTATTTCTCCGAATGGGAAAAGCGACCAAAAGATCTCCTGTCCTTACTGTCTACATATTCCTATACAATGTTACACTGTTTGTCATTCACCTGAAGATATTTCTGGACTTGGTCAATGCTGTAACATCAGGTACTTTGATACAGCAATTAAAATACCGGTTACGAGGTGGATAAATCGTTGAGGAAATCGAGATTTTCAGGAAATTTTGTGTACAATGATCACTTTCCTCTTTTCTGTATTGGAACAGCTGCACAACTCTTGGATGTTATTCATGGAATTCTTGGCATAACCACAACTGGAATTGTTGCTGGTCTTATACAGGTAACGACCTGTAAATTGACTCTCATAGTCAAAATTCTTAGCGTGAATCGACCCCACATCGTAATGCGCCACACACTCAACCTTGAGTATAGCTTGAATAACTAAGTATTCAACCTCTACAATAAGATGCCAGCGCTGAACGATGTTGTACGCTGACGTTGATCGGCTCAGGGGGGAGGGGGGGGGATTTGGACTTTCGCTAGTTTCCTTTGCTTGTTCCTGTTAGCTTACAAGTCTCACCTTGATGAGACCTGTGAACTATTGCAAATCCTGCTGTCGCATAGCCTTACAGAAATCCACAGGTCCCAACACGGCATTTGCAAAGAATGGTGATCAGGGTACAGCATGGGGATGTGCGAAATGTCGGTGTGAGTACGACCCCCCCCCCTCCACGGCTTTTTCGCCGACGACGAGCGATGAGTATATAGTCGGCGAAAAGTTGTCGAGCGGGGTATACAATAACTATGCAACGTATATCCCACGGGCGTACAGAATGCATATAGTGCATATAAAAAAAAAATTAATACGACCCCCCTTTTCCACAAGAAAAAATCAACTATCAAAATAAATTTGTCTTACAAATACGACCCCCCTCCCCAGAGCAAAAGTACGACCCCCCATGGGTTTGACACAACGATGCTGTACCTGATGTGACCAGTAAATGTCCCCACCAAGCGAGACATCGGACGGTAGGGATGTTCGCTCGACCTAACCAGAGATCGATTCGGGATTTGGTTCCTGAAATGATGCGTTCAGTAGCGACGCACTAGCCAACGCAACAACTCTTGTTTGTGGATAACTCGGATTTATTTCTCCTTTCACTTTCCTGCCCTCGTCTGTGCCCCCTGATTATAGCCGCGGTATACGCTCGACGTGTGGGCGGAGTCAGGTCCGCAACTCAGCCCCCCCCCCTCATTGATACATCCCACTTTTCGGGGAGGGCGGCCGGTGAAGAAGGCCCAGGTAGTTCCGACTCCGAAAAGCGTGAACTCTTCCTTACGGGACAAGGGAGAGAATTCTCTCTATTCATGATAGCTGGTTAGGTTCATCAGATAGTCGATCAGTCAACGGCAAAATATTGGGAAAATTTGGTGAGAGCGTTGGTAGAAATATAGAGGGAGGGGTCGTGCTAGCCGGAGGAGGGAATTTGGTGGAAAGAGGGCGTATTCGGTGTGAAGACGGCGTATTTTGGAGAATTCTACCCAATCGTCAGGATGTGCTCTGTTTCCAAAGAAAGACTGAGATGCCTTGAAACAACGTAAGATATAGAGTACGGCATCCGACAAGTTTTACGGAGTTGTGGGTTTAACTTCAGAGGCTTATTTTACTCGTTCAGGTATTTGGACGACTCCTTATGCTGTTCGTGATCGAAGGCAATCCATCAATCCACAACCAGTTTTCCACACCTATTCTTTTGCTGGCATGGGTGTTAATTGAACTGTTTCGGTAAGTGACTATCAGAACGAGCATCGCAGACCACTAACCTAACAGCAGTACCCACCAAGCGGCTAGTTCCGTTCATTCCCCACCACTTCACTTGTTCTGTGCGCATACTATCACCCCACAAGCAATAGGGCGTCTGACGGGGACATGATTTGGAGCGCAGCCAGATCAGATTTCATACCAACAGTAGCGGGTCAAAAACGGCATCACTGGTTGAAAAAAAGGCGTCATGGCTGCGCTCCAATACGCGCCGCGTCAAACGCCCTATCCCTTACGGGATCATGCCTGTATCTCATGGTACGTGAACTCATTCCCATTTCAGATATCCTTATTACGCACTACGAGCATGGGACACGGAAGTATACGCGCTCACGTGGTTGAGGTACACGGCGTGGGTTCCACTCTACCCGCTTGGACTCACAATGGAATGTACGATTCTATTTCCATTTCATTTATCCCTCTTCCAGATGATGGCCACTATGCGAAATTGTCTGCTTTTGGCGAAATCACTGAATTTCAGGGTTCAGTCTGCTGACATCAATAGGACACTACTATGAATCTGGCAAGTATTCTCTTCAAGTACCGTACCTCGATGTGACGCTGAATTTCGGAATAGTCGTGGCAGTCCTAACATTTGCTGTAATGCCATTCGTCAGTAAAACACTCTTGGGACATATGACAAGACAAAGGAGAAATAAAATGAGTGCAAAGAAAATGGATTAATTACAGTGTTCGTCTCATCAAATGCGTTGTTCACGGAAATATTGGCTGTTCCGTGGAGGTGTAGTCTAGTTCGCTGGGGATGAATGGGCGTGTCAGGCAGTATGAGTGCGCCACGACGCCAAACCCCTTCTCTGCCAGCATTTGAAACGGCTATGCGCCAACAATCGGTGGATATCGAGTGATACGAACGAGATGGTACAGCCTTGTCACTTGTTTCAACCACTGTGGAGAACGCGTTTGGCACCGCGCCAAACCCATCCGTCCTGACACGTCCTTTCGTCCGCGGCGAACTCATTACTGTTTTCGACTAGATGATTAGAATTATCCCATTGGAGTTCAAAATCCATGTGAGAAAAACCTTTTGTAAATGCATTTCAAAGCATGCAGGCGCGGCTGAACTGTCAGAAAGCTCCCACTTAGCACGCTTGACACCCCAAGCCACGAAATTCCAAAAATCGGGCGCTGGTTCAGTGGGTTAGATCAAAAGGCTCCTCTGTTCCCCCACCGG